GGGCCCCAGCCAGTGTGCACCCAGCAATGGGAACAGACGGAAACAGGTACTGAAACCAGAATGAAAACTCTCACAAATGTGTGCATAGGTGTCGACTCCATGTGTGCTCCGGGGCTGGAGCATCCACAGGGAAAAATGGTGGCTGCTGAGCACCAATTAGCAGCCCCTTATCAGCCCCCCTCCCTCACTGTGCCTCCCACCCGCTGTGATTAGCTGTTTTACGACATGCAGGAGTTTCTGGGGAAAGGGGGAGGAGCGAGGATGCGGTGCACTCAAGGGAGGGGGTGGAATGTGGCGAAAAGAGGCAGGGTGGGGTGGGGACTTGGGGGAAGGGGTGGAGTGGGGGCAGGGCCTGGGGCGGAGCTGGGGGTCTAGCATCCACCAGCACATTGGAAAGTCGGTGCCTGTGAATGTGTCTCTCTTTCTCTCCCAGGCCTGAACATCAGAGATGCCAAAGAGCTGTGGTATTGGGCTTCAGGACACCAAGCACTTTGGCTATAGGAATATGGCCAGAGTGGGGCAGGTAAGGACTCTCAACTGGTGCATTGCAGCAGCTCAGGTGTGGAGCTGTCTCCCCCTGCAGAGGCTGTGCCCGGATACAGGACAAGACCCTGCTGCGTATTTCCAACTGACAGAGTTCAGTTGGGAGAGGCTGAGGATCCTGGTTTGAGGTGATACATGGATCCATTGCTACGTGGCATAGAGTTAATGCAGGATTGTATCTCGAGGGATTTAGCTCTGCTCACTGTCTCCCTGGCTGACACCTAAGTCTCTGAGAGGGGAGCCACTGTGTGTGTCTCTGAGTTGGAAAGGACACGTCCAGCAATTGCCTGGCAAGATCCTTGTTGGATTCCCTGCTCCCTGTGGAAGCATGGGAAGGGTGTGGGGTTTGCCCAGCACCACTGCGAGTCGGGAAGGAGAACCTGCCCCTGCCCTGGGAGTTTGGTCAGGGAAACTGAACTCCTACACTGGGCTACATCACTGGGCTACATTGCTGGACTGTGCGTAAGGCTCATGGGAATGTCAGTGGCATGGAGAATGGGACCTGAGCGAGCTCAGAAAGCCCCATCCCTCTAGCTTGTGAGCTTCAGGAGATATCGCTGCTGGAAGCGGTAGAGGGTCGTGTGTGGACTTTGTGAGCTACATTCCAGAGCGTGTGAGGCTGAGGTGTACAGACACATTCCCAGCATGTCATGGCTCCTGATATGAATTCTCCAAAAAGAGCTATTAGAGGCCTCAGTGCCTGCGACCTCTTGTTGAAGGGGGTATCCTGGGCCATGGGACCCCAAAGGTCCTCAAGGGGAATTAGCTGCCTTGGCTGCAGCAGGACTCTTACCCTCCACGTGAGCCACTAGAGGGATTTGGCCAAAATCAGGCTCCAAGAGCTCAGGTGCTGTTGGTTTTAGGTCTTCGGTGAGATCTTCTCAGAAGGCCAGAGAAGATCCTTCTTGCAGGCAGTGCTGCTGGCCATCCATGACCCCCAGCTACGTGTAAGCCAGGCTGGGCTGGTCCTAGCCTTCTCCATTGTGGGGAAAGCCGGGCAGCTGATAGGGGATGAGGTAACCAGAGAAGGATTAATCTAGCTTTGGGGAGGGACCCAGGGCCTTTCACCTCTCGGCCAGGAAAAGTCACTCCCATCCCATCCCCATTCACTGGCCGGGGAGTAAGGAGGTGAATGAGTCATTGCAGGTGCCATTCTTAGAGATGAATTCAACTCCATGTGCAGGGTAGAGCCAGCATGTTCTCTATCTATATAAATCTCCGCACTGTATTTTCCACTGAATGCATCCGATGAAGTGAGCTGTAGCTCACGAAAGCTTATGCTCAAATAAATTTGTTAGTCTCTAAGGTGCCACAAGTACTCCTTTTCTTTTTGCGAATACAGATTAACACAGCTGCTACTCTGAAACTTGTCCTCTGAGCAGCTCAAAGCAGTTCAGACCCAGCTTTTCAGCCAGGCTACTTAATTACAGGCATCACATCAACAGGACAGGCTGCCATCGCTCATGCTAGGCGCGGGAAACTCCTCTAGTGACCTCTGCCAGCCCTTCGTACCCCTCAGGGCCTCAGATCAGTTCCTAGTCGTCTAGTGTCCATGTCATCTGAGCCACCATCCAGAGTTGCCCCGTCACTGGCAGCCTTGGAGGCCAAGGACAGAAAGGGCCACAAAGACTAACTAGGCTGGGTTGAGGCACATGCGGCTGGGGAAAGCTCGCCCTACTCCTGGCCTGGCTGGGCTTGCTCTGGGAGAACTGGAGGATTCAGTAAGCAGAGGCTACCCATGTGCCCCATTCACCAGAGCTACCGTCCCCAGCTTCACCATAAGATCTGGGGGGTGACTGGAGAACAGTCAACTTCCTTCCACTCCATTTCCCTGCTGCCAAAAGCCTCCCAACACCTCAGCTGGAGGGGCGGGGAGTGGCTGAGAGGATTGTGGGAAGCTGAGCTGCTTCCCCAGCTGGGTTTGGGGGTAGAACAGCTCTCATGGGGGGACTGAGAGGAATGGGGGCAGGAGCTTCAATGGTGGGAGTGGGGTTGAACATTACTAGAGAGGAGACAAGAGTCCATCTGGGGATTGGGTGTGGGAATCCATCTCTCAGACGTCGGGCTGGGTGGAACTTTTTCTGGCTCCGGGTGCTGTTAATACCTCTCATTGCTGAAGGGGTGTCTAGGTCTCTGACTAATCCTTTTTCCCTTGCAGCAGGAGGATGTTGCTGACAAAGTGATGGCCCAGCTCTATTCCATCAGGTGCTTGTGCCAAGTGCCCAAGGTGCTACAGGGGCTGTGCCCCATGGGACACCCATAAAGGCCCCCCCCCCCCGCCTGTCGAACAGCTCAGACTCCCTGCTGCAGGTACTGCTCTGTTTCACTGTACATGGGTGGGAGAGGGGCTAGTGGGAGTGGAGATAGAACCCACAGCACTGAGAGAAACCCTCTCCCTTGTGGGTGGAGTGGGGCCCTCCTTCTACTCCCGAATCCCCTTTGTCTGGGCCATAGGTTCTCTCCACCCTCCTTTTTCTTGGCCTTGCCCTCTCTGCCATGGCTCCTGCTCCCATCCGTAGAACCAGGATGTATCATCAAGAACCACTGCAGTCTGGGATTGGTGGCCTGACGTAGAGCCCCTCCCCTGTGGTCACTACTCAGATATTCCCATGGCCTCTGTCACCCATGAGCTTGTGAATGTCTGACCCACCCTCCGGGGCCTAATCCACCCACATTGTATCTGAACTCCTCCCAGCCACAAATTAAACTCCCCCGAAGCACCCTGGGGCAGGAAAGGAGCCTCCCTATCTGACAGGGGAACTGAGACACAGAAAGGACTGTGACCCAGGTCACACAAACCTGGGTGTAAATCTGGGAACTGCACTGGTTCCCAGGCTAGTGCCTTCCCTCCAGGGACGTCTTCTCTTTCTGCCCTTTAATCTCCCCTCCTTCTAGCGGGTCTCTGAGTGTGAAATGAACAGGAGCTAGGAATGGAGATGATGTCCTGGCATGTAGCCTGGGTGGGAGCTCCCCCAGCCCTGGATCCCAGCCCAGGGACAGAGACATTTTGTCATCATGCTGTCCTTCTTTTATTCCTAGGAAGAGAGTCCCCAGATGAGGATTCATGGGACTTGATGCCAGATCTGCAGGACTCCAGGTTGGCAGCGCCTGGGAGTACCAGGAAGTCATCTAGGGAACAAAGCAGATCCCTGCCCTTCTGCTGAGCCAGTCTCCACCTTCTTCCTGGTTCCTGCCTCCATACGCCACTCTGCCCTGCCCTCCAGTTCCTGGCTATTGACTCTGACATGACCCTTGGCTCCGGTCTCTGGCTGCTGACCTTGGTGTGACCCTTGGCTCTAGTTGTTGGCTACGAACTCTGGCTCAGTATTGTCCTTGTCCTCCTCTAGCCTTGCTCCAGCCCCACCACTGACCCAGTCCAGCCTTGCCTCCTCCTTCTGATCCTCCCCAGACACTTGGACTCTTGACTACCCAGCTTCAAATTTCTATCTGAATCTGGACTCTGGCTTGATACTGACTTGGCTTATCTTTGGACTCTGACCACCCAACTTTGACCTCTGGCTTGCACCTGGACTCTAGCTCCAGTTCTGATTCTGGATTGTCTATGGACTGTGATCTTGGTTTTGACCTTGCTCTGTCCCCGGATCTTGATTACAGCACCACCCTTCACCCAGGTCTAGTCCTATGCCTAACTGTGACCTGTGCTCCAACCACTAAACCTAATTATAGGAACCAGCACCTGACACCTGGTGGTGCAACTTTTTGCAGAAAACTGACCCTTTGCTAGTATGTGGCCCATATGCAAGAGGGGACACATCACACCGGGTGTGAAAAATGGCCTTGCTAACTGAGCCTGGCTCTGTGGTGCCCCTACCAGAATGGTTCAATGGAAATGACTGAAAATGTAGGGATTTCTTAACCAGCCTCTGCCCCTGGACCTACCCCACCCATCAGACTCAGGGGGAGTTGGTAACTAGTTTATTGGCCAGTGAGGTGCTAGATTGGGCCTCACCTCTACTCAAACCGAATTGTCTGGCGATAACAAACTGGAGCACATTCCTATGATTGGCTGAAGCTCTCCTGCCAAAATTCTAGCAGGCACATAGGTCAGCCGTCTTATATACCATGCAGTTCTGATGGCTTGCAGCCAATGCTGAGTGGAACCAGGTGGCCCAGTTTTATCATTTCCACTGTGCACTCAGTGAAGTGTTCAAGGAGGAGTTAGCCTGGCTAAAAGCTCTCATGGGCCTGGAAAGCTTCATCGATCTAGCCATCCACATTGAGATCTACCATTGTGAGTGCAGGGAGGAAAAGAGAGGAGGGTGTTACACAGCTGCCTCACCCAGGTTGAGCTTGAGCTCGAGCTCATCCCTGAAACCTATGCACGTCAATGTGGGCCACCGACTCTTAACCCCCAAGGAAAGCGAGCTTGAGCTCATCCCTGAAACCAATGCAGATCAATGTGGGCCACCGACGCTTGACCCCCAAGGAAAGGGAGTGAAGTCAGTGCAATAACTTGTTCTTCTACTGTGGCAGGCCAGGGCACGCACTCACTTCCTGCCTCTCATGGACCCCAGCCAGAAAAGTATCGGGGAAAAAAACAAGCCCAAATTTTCATGGAAACCCAGCTGGGTCCACTAGGGTCCTTACCGCATCTCCAAGTTCCAGTTCAGTTTTGCATCTCCAGAGAAACATGACAGGTAGCACTGCATTAGGCACTTATTGATTCTGGGTCTGCAGACAATATCATAAATTTTGAGACAACCCAAGGTCTGCATATCTTGTCCGGCAGAAGTCACATCAGATGTTGTGGAAATCATTGACAAGATCCTCTTGTCCTCAGGACTGGTGACTCAGATGATGGTGCCCCTGAAAGCGGTAACCCAGGTACACAAAGAAATATTGACATTCGATATGATATGTTCCCACATTTCTGCAGGCTCACTTGGTTAGCATGACATGACCCCCATGTTCTCTGACAAACCCAGAAGACCAGCTTTCCCTCCAGGTGCTATCGGCAGGCCTGTCTCCATAGCAACAGCAGCAAGTCCCTGGGCCCAGAGGCCCATTCCCAGACAGTGGTGGTGTTATGCTTAAACAGAGCACGAGATCTTTTCATAGGGGAAAAAGCAACACGCTGCATTTTTTGAGAATACAGCAATTAGCATATGCTTTTCAGTCACACACACACACAGCATGCACACAGTCCCACCAGTCGATGTTTATAGTTACCAGTCCAGAGTCTGGATCAATCTAGTGGCCGGCCAGATTGGTCGCAGAGGGCAGCCAGTCTCTGTTGGTCGAGATCCGATGCTCCTGGAGTAGTGGCAAGACGAACCCGAAGTCCCATGGCAAAGCACCCTGTTCTTATAATCTTTTTTCTCCGTTGAAGTCTATGGATTTTGCTTTGTCAGTTTGTGACCGGTTACTCCTTAATTGGTGTTATCTTTTGATGGCCCAAAACACCTTTGGGAGAATCATCCTGTCTGGTTTCGATTTAATCAATTATCTTGTATTTTAAGGGTGCCAGCCTTCACCTCAGGGTTGGCAATCTGCCCCTCCTCAACCATGGATGCGTGTTGATGGTTCTCTGGTGTCTCTGAGTCTCTTCAGTTTCTTCACTCCTCCTCCCTTGGCCATGTGGCTTCAAAAATGGCCTTCACACCTTATCTTTCCCTGATGCATACATTCCTCGTTCACACAAACAATTCTTTGCAGAGACTTTCAAAAGGTAACAAATGGCAGTATTTTATGTTGAACAAGAAAGGCGTCATAAATTAGACTGTACTAAATCCTGTAACTGTCCTTTCCCACACTGGGGCCTGGGCCTCTGAAATTCCTCTAATTTAATTAACATAGACACAGACAAAATCCTGTCTGTTATTTACAAAGCATAAAAAGAAAATGGTTCCACTATCCTATTCATTTATTCTAGTATGGAGACTGCCAATGACAGGAGGGGTCTTCTCAGTAGGGAAACTCTTTGCTGAATGGAGGTACCAAGCCCTTGGCACTGACAAATCCCTAAGCCCCGTCTGTGGCAGTAGTTCCTGCCCCATTCCCCTTCCTTGACAATCCTCCTCCCCTGGCTTTAGGGAGCAAACTCTGGGTCCCTTCCCTCGCCCTGGCGCAATCCACCCCCAGAGTGTCTGAGTTCCTCACCAACAATGGGATTATCTTCCCCTCACCCCCTGCAGGGGAGGAAACATCCCCATTTTACAGGCAGGGAATGAGGTGATGAAGTGACCTCTCTGAGGTCACAGCTAAACCTGGGGTAGATCTGGGAACTGGACAGGGTTCCACTCTATTGCCTTCCCCACAGGGGCATATTCACTTCCTCTCCTTCCATTCTCCTCTCCCCTCTTGACCTTTCTTCTATGCGGTCTCTGAACAGGAAATGAGCAGGGCCTTCCTCCCCACTCTGTCTTCCAGGCTCTGGGATCTGTCTGTGCCTCCTACATCAATGGAGCCTGCAGCTGGCCCAGATTGGGGAGCCATGACCTCATCCTGTCAAGCGAGAACAACTGCTTCTCAGTGATGCTTAGATGGCAAATCGCACCCCCCTCATGGAGGTAGGACCACTCACTCATCTTGGCGATTGTGGCTGTTGGGACAAAGATCAAGTTCCTGGAATATAGCCTGGCTGAGAGCATTCCTTATCCCTGGATCCCAGCCGTGGGATTCAGACGCTGTTCTCATTGTGCTGTCCTAATTTTATTCCTAGGAAAAGCATCTCCAAAGGAGGTGTAATGATCCTGAACTCTATTGCCTGCACGAAGCTTCAGACTGGAGCTCCAGCAGATTCCCCTGAAGAACAGCACCCTGTCTTTCTGTGGTCAGGCTAGGGCTCTCCCTCTGTCATGGAGGTGAAGACCGGATGGGAGCTGATGGATTGACTTTGATATGTCATGTCCTTGTGTGGATGAGGGACCTACATCACAGAGATGGCCAGTAGCAGATGTACCACACGTGGCCAGGAATGGGCTACACAACTTATAATGATAGGTAAGTATAACTATGGCCACCTATAGACACCATGGGCATTGGTGGGGATTGAACCAGGGCCCTTCAGCACAAGCCCCTCTCACTCAAGCTAAAGGGGTCACTCTAGGAGTGTAGGAGAGCCGCAGGGTCTGTCTGATGGAATGAATAGAAAAGGGAGCCTGAGATGAGATTGCTAGGCCCTTCCCAGTAGCAGGGGAGGCTGTGGGAAGAAGTGGCAGTAAAATGGGAGTGGGATGGGAGGAAGGGATGACTGAGGAGGAGATGTTGGCACAGGGGGGTGTTTGCATAGGGAGCTTTGGAGGTGCAAAGGAGAAGTCTGAACTGGACATGGAAAAAAGGGCAGCCAGAGCCAGACTTGGAAGTGGGGAAGACAGCACCAGGAGAGGAAGATCATGTCAGCAGCTGCAGTTTGGATGGCTGGGAGAGGGAAACTGGGGAAGTCACCAGAACATGATCTGGAGTCTTGTCAGTAGGAAGAGCCTAGATACACTGTCAAAGAAATCAGCCCCGTTTTAACAGAGGGAGGGACAGAGATGGAGCAGTGAAGACTTCCCTGAGACCTCGAAAGGAGGCTGATTGCGACTGTGTTCTGGTTCCAAGTCCTGTGCTTGGACCACACTCCAGTGCAACAGTCCATAAATTAGCCTCCCACCTGAACAACAACCAGCCAGCACTTCCGCATCCAGGCCTGGAGCAGAAAACTGAGGATCTTGCAGGAGCTTCCTCAGGTCAGTGTCAACCAAGGCTGGTGGCCCACTGGAGAATCTGTCTGACCCATTTGGGAAGCAGCCTCTTTGAAATGGCTGTTCCACGTAAGGGCATGGGGGTTGCAAAACCCTACCAATGCACAGAGCTCTGCCTAACAAGGCTTGTGTTCTGTCACTAGAGTCCTGATGGCAGAGACCAGCCTGCTGCTCCTGTGGTCTGGGCCACGGTGTTCTGTACTGAGGAACCGGTCCTTTCTCTTCAGGCTGCAGGGATCTGAAATTGTTTGCAGCCCCTGCTGTTGCTGTGCCCTGGAGAAGGTTTATTTGTCTGGGGCTGAATTTGTGATACCAGGGCTAGATACTGCTAACTTTATTTACTGTTGTGACAGCTGTCAGTGGCCGTTCTGTGTGAGTGAGGTTTGCAGGAATGCACCTCATCTGAACGGGTGATCTCTTACCGACACAGAACTTTGTGGGCTGGACTGTACCCTCTGTGTGCAATTCCACGGGCCAGTAGAGATGCACAAGTAGTTAGCTTTGGAGAGAAGGTTTGTCTAAACCTAATACCTTTGAGAGGCTTGGGTGGAAGCTGCTAGAGATGAGGAGACACTAATTAATGACCCCTCCCAGGCCTTCCAAGATTGGTCAGTATTATCCCCATTATCTGGGTATCAGACGGAAAGTGACTGGCTGTTAAGTCACACACAGCATCACCAGCAGAAGCCAATGCCAGAAGCAATCCTGCTCCACCCACTAGACCACGCACCCTTCCAGAGCCACAGAACCCAGGAGTCCTGACTCAGACCTGTGCCTTACATCAATTGGCCAAACCTCCTCCTGTTAAGGGAGCTGGAGAAGGGACCGTCGGCAGTGACTCCCTCCCCTACATTCCCACTGTTGGAGACCATTGCAATGCATGACAAGTGAATGAGCAGAGAGCTCCCCTGTGGGAATCCGAGGGATGCACAGTTGGGTTTCACGGGGAAGGCCTCTGGCAGCCATTGACAGAGTGTTCCATTGAGGAGATTTTCTTTCTCTAACAAAGGGTTTCTGTTCCCCCAGATCATCGGCCACTTAGCAGAATGTGAAAGAGCTGAGTGGTGAAGGGCTAGAGGAGTGACCAAGTGGCTGTGGAGCAGGTGCAGTGCCTGCAGTCACCATGGGCCAAACCCTACAACCCAGGCCAAGTCCCCCCTGATTTGGCTTGGGGAATCGGTTGCTGGTACCTAGACAGAGACTGAGATGTTTTCATGAGGCAACTCAGTGGTACATGCAGCTCCATCCAGACAAGTGGAGAATGTAAGTTCAAGAACGAAGCTGGGACCTCTGTGGAGCTGCTGCAGTCAAGTGTCCACAGCGAGAAGAGAGATGATGGGAAACTTGCTAAGATGGCTGGCAGCAGCGCTGAGAAAAAGCAGTCTGGCAGCTAGTTCATTGGAAATAAATAGGAACTAAATATTAAGGGGGTTTTCCTGCCCAATGAAGTGTTTAAAATGTGTCTCTTTACTATTGCTCTAACCTTTACAATATCCTCGTATAATTTAAGGCAGGGGGCAGGGGATGTGTAAATGTAATAGGTCACTTTTAGGAGCATGAAGTATCCGGTTCAATCTCAAAGCACCTAATTCTACAACTTGAGCTGAACTCAACAAATGCCTCAGGTGGTAGCAGTAGTAAGCTCCCATCCTCTGTGCACTAACTGCCAGGGAGGCATTCAGTACATAGGGTCATAGAGCGGCATGAGGTTCCCCTTGCAAGAGCTGCCTGTTGACACTGCCCTTGTCGGGGAGCACCTCAGGGTACTATGGACTGGGCATGAGCAACATGCCTCCAAACCTGCACAGCCTGAGGATCCAGAGAGCACTGTTCCTGATCCCAAAGCTTCCTCAGAGCAACTGAGGAGCCAGACTGTACCTGGACTCTCTCCCTGCCCTAGCAGCAAAGAAGCTGTTTGCACGGATGTCAAGTGCCATCTCCCGTGACACTCACATGTGGGCCACTGGTGCATTCATAGGGTCCAGGCTGAAGGCCACACACTCCTCTGGGCTGTGGAAAGCAGGAGCAGGAGGAGTGACAGAGGATGTGGAAAAAGCTAATGTACTCAATGCTTTTTTTGCCTCTGTTTTCACTAACAAGGTCAGCTCCCAGACTGCTGCGCTGGGCATCGCAAAATGGGGAAGAGATGGCCAGCCCTCTGTGGAGATAGAGGTGGTTAGGGACGATTTAGAAAAGCTGGATGTGCACAAGTCCATGGGGTCGGACGAGTTGCATCCGAGAGTGCTGAAGGAATTGGCGGCTGTGATTGCAGAGCCATTGGCCATTATCTTTGAAAACTCATGGCGAACGGGGGAAGTCCCGGATGACTGGAAAAAGGCTAATGTAGTGCCAATCTTTAAAAAAGGGAAGAAGGAGGATCCTGGGAACTACAGGCCAGTCAGCCTCACCTCAGTCCCTGGAAAAATCATGGAGCAGGTCCTCAAGGAATCAATCCTGAAGCACTTGCATGAGAGGAAAGTGATCAGGAACAGCCAGCATGGATTCACCAAGGGAAGGTCATGCCTGACTAATCTAATCGCCTTTTATGATGAGATTACTGGTTCTGTGGATGAAGGGAAAGCAGTGGATGTATTGTTTCTTGACTTTAGCAAAGCTTTTGACACGGTCTCCCACAGTATTCTTGTCAGCAAGTTAAGGAAGTATGGGCTGGATGAATGCACTATAAGGTGGGTAGAAAGCTGGCTAGATTGTCGGGCTCAACGGGTAGTGATCAATGGCTCCATGTCTAGTTGGCAGCCAGTATCAAGTGGAGTGCCCCAAGGGTCGGTCCTGGGGCCGGTTTTGTTCAATATCTTCATAAATGATCTGGAGGATGGTGTGGATTGCACTCTCAGCAAATTTGCGGATGATACTAAACTGGGAGGAGTGGTAGATACGCTGGAGGGGAGGGATAGGATACAGAAGGACCTAGACAAATTGGAGGATTGGGCCAAAAGAAATCTGATGAGGTTCAATAAGGACAAGTGCAGGGTCCTGCACTTAGGACGGAAGAACCCAATGCACAGCTACAGACTAGGGACCGAATGGCTAGGCAGCAGTTCTGCGGAAAAGGACCTAGGGGTGACAGTGGACGAGAAGCTGGATATGAGTCAGCAGTGTGCCCTTGTTGCCAAGAAGGCCAATGGCATTTTGGGATGTATAAGTAGGGGCATAGCGAGCAGATCGAGGGACATGATCGTTCCCCTCTATTCGACATTGGTGAGGCCTCATCTGGAGTACTGTGTCCAGTTTTGGGCCCCACACTTCAAGAAGGATGTGGATAAATTGGAGAGAGTCCAGCGAAGGGCAACAAAAATGATTAGGGGTCTGGAACACATGAGTTATGAGGAGAGGCTGAGGGAGCTGGGATTGTTTAGCCTGCAGAAGAGAAGAATGAGGGGGGATTTGATAGCTGCTTTCAACTACCTGAAAGGGGGTTCCAAAGAGGATGGCTCTAGACTGTTCTCAATGGTAGCAGATGACAGAACGAGGAGTAATGGTCTCAAGTTGCAGTGGGGGAGGTTTAGATTGGATATTAGGAAAAACTTTTTCACTAAGAGGGTGGTGAAACACTGGAATGCGTTACCTAGGGAGGTGGTAGAATCTCCTTCCTTAGAGGTTTTTAAGGTCAGGCTTGACAAAGCCCTGGCTGGGATGATTTAACTGGGAATTGGTCCTGCTTTGAGCAGGGGGTTGGACTAGATGACCTTCTGGGGTCCCTTCCAACCCTGATATTCTATGATTCTATGATTCTATGACTCGTGCAGCAATAAATCTTTCTGTGCACCTGCCGAGCAAGCAACCTTTCTGCTCCTCTTGCTGGTTTCTAGCCCTCAGGAAGCACCAAGGGGTAAGGAGGCAGTGATATATTTGCCCCAAAGGTGGGTGTGGGGGAAGAAGCAGAGCTAAAAGGCATCAGACAGTCATGCTATAGCATTCTCCTTAGATTCATTCCAACAACCACGTGGCTCCTTCCTGCTACAGGTCACACCATTTAGGTTCCCATTGTTTAGGGTTACCATATTTGAACATTCAAAAAAGAGAACACTCCACGGGGGAAGAGGGGGAATTGCTCGAGCCCCTGCAGCCCCGCCCCAAGTCCACCCCTTCCCCACCCCCATTCCAACCCCTTCCCCAAATCCCCACCCCCTCCCCCCAGCTACGTGAAACAGCTTTTTCGTGGTGCAAGCGCTGGGAGCTGGGGGGAAAAGCGGGCACTCTCTTGAGTGATCAACATTCACTTTCTTTCTC